AGAGAGAGAAAAGGCGGTCTTAATATGCATATGAAGTGTCTCAGGCAGCAGCCCTCAGAAAAATAGGTGACAATCTGGGTGTGGAATCCTTGGTGTGGAGACCACTAGTCTTATTACTGGTGAGTATCTTCCTCCCTCCTTGTGTCTGGTGACAAAGAATTGAAACCAGACATCAAAGTAGTGAAGCAGAAGCAGAAAGTGTTATTTAGCAAACTCATTCCCCAAAGCAAGCAGAGGATCGTACACTCCCAGTGGACGATGGCCGTGAGGTCCCCTTGGGTTTCTCCTTTTCTTCTTCTTCCTACATTGTTGTCCCTTGGACCAAGGGAAACATTAATTACCTCCTCCCTCCATCAGGTGGGGGAGTCTTTTACTTTGTTGTTCAGACCCAGATGTGTCATGGCTTCCGAAGCCCGTTCAGTAGGGCAATCATTTATGGTCATGATGGCATAATGAAGTCTGAGTGAGGACCCTCTTCTCCTCCCTCTGCACAGGCACCGCCTGACGGGCTTCCCCGAAACTAGAGGAAGCAAGGTGTTTCCATAATGGTTCCAACATGGCTCAGCGCCCATAGCACAGTGGTTACTGCACCAGTCACATATGCTAAGGCTGGCGAGTTTGAACCTGGCTTGGGCCAGCTAACAACAATGACAATTGCAACAAAAGAAATAGCCAGGCTTTGTGGGAGGCACCTGTAATCCCAACTACTTGGGAGGCGGAGGCAAGAGAATCCCTGAAGCCCAAGAGTTTGAGGTTGCTATGAGCTGCGACTCCACGGCTCTCAACCAAGGGCAACAGCTTGAGACTCTGTCTCAACAAAAAAAAAAAAAAAAAAATAGAATAAATATATAATGGTTCTGACAGCAGCTTGACCTCAGCTTTTGTTTACATTAATCCATACTTAAATTTTGTTCCTATAAATCCATTTTGCCTCACCTGTGTTCTCTATTCTGACCGTGGCCTTAGTCTGGCCTCTGGGAGGGGAACTGAGGAATGTGAAAAGAGACTGACTTTTCTGTGTCTGACCTTTTATCCAGCTTGAATCTTTAAAATTATTTTTTAACGATTTTTTTAAAAAATCATATCTCATTCTCAAAAAAATTCTCACAGTGTACACATTATATTTTTTTAAAATAATGTATTTTTAGGCTGGGTGCCCATAGCTTGGTGGTTAGGGCGCCAGCCACATACACTGGGGCTGGCAGGTTCTAACCTGGCCTGGGCCTCTAAACAATGACAACTACAACAAAAAAATAGCCAGGCATTGTGGTGAGCACCTGTAGTCACAGCTACTTGGGAGGCTGAGCCAAGAGACTCACTTAAGCCCAAGAGTTTGAGGTTGCTGTGAGCTGTGATGCCACAGCACTCTACTGAGGGTAACATAGTGTGACTCTGTCTCAAAACAAAAAAAAGAAATAATAATGTATTTTTATGGACAGAAAGGATGAAGTTTCAGATTTACTTTAAAATAGTCCAGTTCCCACAAGTGAGTGGGAATAGAGATGGAGCCAGATCCACCAGGAGTTAACTGGTGGATTTGGGTGGTCATTACACTGGTCTACTTTTGGATATGTTAATATTTGAAAATCTCAATAGTCAAATCCTTTTGAAAATGTATGTATTGGGTGGCGCCTGTGGCCCAAAGGAGTAGGGCGCTGGCCCCATATGCCAGAGGTGGCAGGTTCAAACCCAGCCCTGGCCAAAAACTGCAAAAAAAAAAAAGTATTTTATGAGGGGAAATGAGTCCAGCGTAATAATCTATGTCTGAGAACTAAGGGGCTCCCTCTCCTGTCTGTCCACCCAAGACCGCTTAATGCCCCATTACCCTTCCCTATTCTATTTTTTCCCTAGCACTAATCACTTTCTAATGTGAAACATAGAAATAACATACATTATTTACTTAGTATGTTTACTAAGTAAATTAATAAACATAATTTACTTATAATGTCTGCTGTTTATCACGGTGGGTACACATTACAGGTTACTTATTCACTAATAAGACTGTTTCATTCTTTTCTGAATTTGTGGAGAGGATTTTGAGGGGATGGTAAGAGATTTTTAATTATTTCCCCAATACTATATATTTTAGGTCTACTGTTTATCATGCCTCTCCCTCTAGAAGGAGTTCTATGAGGTCAAGAATCCATGTCTGGCTCGGCGTCTGTGGCTCAAGCGGCTAAGGCGCCAGCCACA